GTGTGTGTGTGTGTGTGTGTGTGTGTGTGTGTGTGTGTGTGTGTGTGCGTGTGTGCGCAGAAAGGAACGTATAGCTCGGCGGTTGGAGGGCATCGAGGGTGAGGTGCAGCCGTCTCTGCTGCCGAGTTTAGTGGCCAACCGGCTTCTGGAAGAGGACACACCACGATACACAAGGGCCTCTGATCCCTGTGAGCCCTTTGGAGGTGAGACAAGTGCAGCACCTTGACTCTTTTGTTTGTGCTTCTATGGGGATAACTGACTTGTGTTCTCTTCGTGCCTCCTAGTTACAGTCCAGCGGTATGGCATAGAGGGATTTGAAATCCCAGAAATGCAGCTGGCGGCTCCGGAGCGACAGTCCAGAGCTCCCTGCAGACCTGACCCTCAGTCCTCCATCCACACGGAGCCTGTCTACACTTCGGCCTCCACCACCGGTGCCCCTAAGCTCGAGTCCAAGGCTGAGCGCATCGCCCGCTACAAGGCCGAGCGGCGTAGGCAGCTGGCCGAGCGCTACGGCATCTCTTTAGATCAGGAGCCAGACTCGGACCAACCCCTGCGCCGTGCCCGGAAGGATTCGGAAGGCTCAGAGAGGCGAATTCGCGGGGAGTCGGTGGGGGAGGACGGGCGGGACAACGCCCTGAGTTCTTACACCGGCACGTCCGCCACCAGCCCGAGGGCGGGACGCTCGGCACCACAGCACAGCCACCCCGACCCGGGTCACGGGATGGGTCGGACCAGGGTGGACTCCTTTACAGAGAGGGAGAGGCTGATGAACCTGGAGAATCAACGCAGAGCTGCTCCGCCCGAGCCTCCGTCCTCTTCCTCATACATGGACGTGACATCGTTGTCCTCGGCAGCCAGGGTTCCCGCCAAGGACTACTCTGTCACAGGGATGCCACCCAGTTCACCCAAGCTGAGCAGGCACCTTTCCCTCTCCTCACCTAAGCACGGGGTGTCTCCTGGGGACCTATTCATCGAGCAGCAGGCCCACAACATCCTCAGCAGACAGGGGTGAGTGGTCTGATCACTTTTTGCCCTCATCGTCTTTGATTTCTATTTATATCGAAGGTAGTTTCTTTTCCTTGTTTCACAATTTATGAAGCAGAGTAGATATTATTCTATGAATTGGCCTGTGGCTAATGCTATCTCATTAGCAGACCATTCCCCCCTCTTGTCGTCCTTTGGTTTCATACCGGTAAGTTCTGGAACAATCTTTGAGACCCACAGCTGGCCTTGTAAAATATACCAGGCAGACTGATACAAAATATTTGTTTGTGTTGTGTTTCTATTCCAGACATTTCAAGTGTATCTGTTGAGAAAAAACAATTAATTCCCAAAGGAACTCTCATTAGCCTGCATGTTGCTCTTTTGTTAGGAAAAGCCATTTCCGAGGCTGTTCGGATAAAGTAAACCTCTGGCTCTGTGGCTGATCCCACTTTTTACCAATGCTGATAAAAGCACCAGCTGCTTCCTTAAAGGATAGTTCCAGTTTATTACAACTTGAGATGAACGAATGGTTACTATCAGTCTGTTGTTAATATCCATCACAGTTTTCAGACCGATTTTTGTGGTTCAACTTGTTACACTGTGCCGTACTTGCAGTAGTTGTGCTTGCACCAAGGCTGGATTACCAAGCAGGCAAGCTGCCCCGAGACCCTCAGGGGCCCCCAAGGGCTCAAGACTGTCTTCATGGTAACTTGATTGCCTGTATTTGTTTGGTGATATACCAGTAAAACTGAAATGGTAAACGCCATACTGTGGCTCTTGCTTTTTGACTTGACTTGTCTTGTAGAGGGGCTCTGTTTCAAAATCTAGTTTTAATATGTTTAATATTTCAGTGTTTAATTTATATGGTTTGATCTGTAGACTAACTGATTTACAGCAAACCTGGGACAGGGTTAGCTTCCACCTTAGAAGAACAGTTCAGTTTTTAGGTTCTGGGCAACATAGATTGGGCAAACATGTCAGGGGTGACTCATGGGGGCCCACAGTTCAATTTCTGCCCGGGGGCACACTATTTGGCCTAATCCAGTCCTGGCACACACACAGTTTACTTTGCAATGAGAGATTAAACCCAATTTATACTTTCCACATCTGCGTGGCCAAGAGGAACAACCCTACAATATTGGGAGCCAAGCAACTCGACCCATTTGGTATGGACATGCCCTCCAAACAGCATTACCCCTGAAATGATTGACAAAAGTAATACAACAAAAAAGTAATTAACTGGAATTATCCTTTAATTGTGTTAGTCAATACTGATTAGCAGCTCCAGTGCTCAATAAATCAGGCATTCATTAAATACATGACTGTGAAAAACTGGTTTATTCTTCTAGCGTTACCTTTTCCCAACAGAACAGCACTCATCATCATTTTATCATCTGATTTTTAAGACCCCATGGGACAGCCAGTGTTCCTTTTCCTAAAAGTCCATCTTTAAAAGTGCCAGTATTTTAATCTGCAGCAGATGGATTCATTGCTGCTGCAGAGGATAAGCGCTAAGGAGTGTTGTGATAGTGTACAGATAGTATCAGCACACTCCACATCTGTGATGTAAGAACCAGCTGGCCCAGCCCAGGTCTCGACCAGGTTTGACCCTTCAGTTCGTGTTGCTAACGAAGAGATGAAGATGATTCTACACCCGACTATACGCGGTCATTCCCTATCCCATCACTTCCTCTCGCTGCTCCTAAATCCCTCTCTCAGGTTTCAACACTTGGCCGGCGTGCGCGTGTGTGCGTGTGTGTGTGTGTGTGTGTGTGTGTGTGTGTGTGTGTGTGTGTGTG